CCTCATCTGAGCCACCAAGTTAGATTGACAAAAAAACAGCATGATGCATCTACTAAACCAGAAACGCAGACCAGAATGGTTCAATACCTCGTATGAATTAGTTCCTGTCGCAGACCATCTCATTCAGCTACCATGGCAGATATGCGCTGCTTTTCAGAGTTCTGATGCTCAACCTCCTTTGTTAGACCCTGCACCTTTTCAGTCAACTCTTGCCTCAAAGACTGCAGCGTGCCTACTTCAGATCGTAGCTGCAAGGCATCTTGCCTATGAGGTTCTAAAGAGCGTAGCTCAGCTTCCAGCTTCAGATTCCTCTGAGTCAGCTCCCTCGATTCAAGTTCTTTCTCTGCGCGGAGCTTAGGTATAGCCTGACTCGAGGAATAGAGATCTTCTTTCAAATGGGACATTGCTTGCCTGAGTCCAACAATTTCATCCACCAGATGTTGGTTGTCATCACGGATTCTGCGTATCTCATCACGGCGGCTAGACAGCTCTCCCTCGAAGCGACGTGGTGAGATAGACCTTTCTCGTGCAAGTCGAGGAGGAGGACCATCACGAAATCCTCGCGGTTCCTCATAGTACTGGCGACTTATGCGGTGCTTCCCTGCCATTTATAGCCCTGTAAAGAATAACCGGAATGTTAAGACAAGAAAATAAGAAACTCACGTGTCAGAAATGACTTTTAGAACCACATAAGTGGTTGGTTTCCTCATTGTTTTGTTTGGTGATTGTTGAAACATGACGTGTACCACTATGTATTTGTCCTATATTTGTTTCCTGATTTATTTATTTTTCCAAAAACAACATGGGACACACAAGTGCGTTGTCATAAATGAAACAACTGACACACACAGTCGCTCAGTCAGCGCCTATCTCAGTTTCAAATTGTGAATCGTTGTCAACTTGGTAGTAAGATTGCCATTAACTTCATTGATATTTTAGCATATATGTACAAGACAGTTAGCCTTTGCCTATGAAGAATGCATCATTAGCAAACATTTAAGGAAACATACCTTCATTGCACACAACCTCAGAAGACAGCATTGATTACTTCTTTTGAGCTTAAGCATCTCCAGAAACAGGCTTATGGATTGCGGTGGAAATAAGCTCCAGTAGGGGGAAGCTCTGAAAAACTGTTTTTCATTTTCTTTTTGGCTTACAGAATTCAGGCTTCTTTTCTGTGTCAACTAATGTAAAGTCTACAATGTCCCTGAACTTTAATCACATCCTTTTGTTAGATAATTTCGTTTTTTCCATTATTTAACCGCAGAAGCAAAATAAAATAAAACTTCAGCATAACAGAATTTCAGTTGTGTCATATTTTGACGTAAGCAATAAGTTGCACGCATCACACATGCTTTTCGATTGCACAATAGGCTGCATTAATATACATGCATTAACAGTCATATGCGAATCAGATACATCACATGGCAGTGATGGCACATCCCCCAAATCAAATTCAGATGACTTCAAACTATAATTAAATGAACGAATGCAGTCCCAAACAAGTTGGGGTAGGCTAGAGGTGAAACCCATAAGATCTCGCAACCAACTCATGGCTCTGGCACATGGATAGCAAGCTTCCACGCACCCCTGTCCATAGCTATCTCTTTGATGATACTCCAATCCTTCAGGTCTCTCTTAACGGACTCCTCCCATGTCAAATTCGGTCTACCCCGCCCTCTCTTGACATTCTCCACACGCTTTAGCCGTCCGCTATGCACTGGAGCTTCTGGAGGCCTGCGCTGAATATGCCCAAACCATCTCAGACGATGTTGGACAAGCTTCTCTTCAATTGGTGCTACCCCAACTCTATCTCGTATATCATCATTCCGGACTCGATCCTTCCTCGTGTGGCCACACATCCATCTTAACATACGCATCTCCGCCACACGTAAATGTTGAATATGTCGTCTTTTAGTCGGCCAACACTCAGCGCCATACAACATTGCGGGTCGAACCGCCGTCCTGTAGAACTTGCCTTTTAGCTTTTGTGGCACTCTCTTGTCACAGAGAATGCCAGAAGCTTGGCGCCACTTCATCCATCCGGCTTTGATTCGATGGTTCACATCTTCATCAATACCCCCATCCTCCTGCAGCATTGACCCCAAATACCGAAAGGTGTCCTTCTGAGGTACCACCTGGCCATCAAGGCTAACCTCCTCCTCCTCACACCTAGTAGTACTGAAACCGCACATCATGTACTCGGTTTTAGTTCTACTAAGCCTAAACCCTTTCAATTCCAAGGTTTGTCTCCATAACTCTAACTTCCTATTTACCCCCGTCAGACTATCGTCAACTAGCACCACATCATCCGCAAAGAGCATACACCATGGGATATCTCCTTGTATATCCCTTGTGACCTCATCCATCACCAATGCAAAAAGATAAGGGCTCAAAGCTGACCCCTGATGCAGTCCTATCTTAATCGGGAAGTCATCAGTGTCGACATCACTTGTTTGAACACTTGTCACATCATTATCGTACATGTCCTTGATGAGGGTAATGTACTTTGCTGGGACTTTGTGTTTCTCCAAGGCCCACCAATGCAAAAAAAAAAAAGAGTAGATGACAGCCATTCTTGTAAATTCTAACAAAAATAGCTTAACTTGAGCATGAGTATGATTCCCAGGTATAAAAACAATCATGTGATGCTATAAAGGAGAAGACATGCCCTCGACCAACTTTTTCCTGCGGTCGAGCTGGTCGGAAGTGAGCTGGAGGCCGAGGTCGAGCTAAGCAGCACCTAACTGGAGGTGGAGGACGAGCTGGAAGCAGCAACACATGGGTCGACGTCGAGCTAGCCTGTAGCGAGATGAGGTGGATGCATTTGGCAGCGTCGATCTCCTAGCGTAGGAGACCCGTGATGTTGTGAGAGAACAACGAGATAACCATGCAGGGTCGGGTTTGGGAACAGGGAGGCAAGCGGTGGCATACGGAGCCACGGAGGTAATTTCCTTGTAACTCGGAGGGCATTTCTGAAATTGATGAGGCGAGAAGCTCGGAAGACTGGGTCCGAGCAGTTTCCTGGTTTCAACAATTTTCTGGGTGGTGGGAAAAATATTCTCTAATGATAAGAGGCTCTGCATTTTGGGGGGTTTTAGCTCTCTTGGCAAAGCCTCAAAACAAGTGACCCTAATACATAATTATCACAGCATCGCAAGAGCAGATTGCTAAAGAACATCAATCAATTATCACAACAAAGCAATACGCATGATTAGCATTGGTTATCAGTTTATCAGCAAACCACTATGATTCTCTAAAGATATCAAAAACCACATGGAGTTATCTTATCACAACAAAAACATGCTTTTCCTTGCATGCTGGCATATTTGGCTAATCCACAATGCCAAGATCTACAAACATATTCGCATTGCAATTTTGTCCATGAAATATCTCTCGTGGTGCATAGGGCTAAGCCTAGGTTCATAGACAGGTTGCTCAGGTGGATTGCTTTTCTCCCACCTTAGATTAGTCTATGATCCTTGTATGTTCTGGCCTTGTTGATCTCTGTACATGTTATCTCTATAACATAAAGTTAAGGTTCTGGACTGCAACAGCCTGACCGCTACAAGATATCAAACATATCAAGACTAGAGTACACAATTTTTTTCTTGCAGAATTTTAATTATCGCTGAACAAAAACTACTTGTACCATTTACCATCAACCAGATTGATACAGAGCGTAGCACTGCATCATCACAAAACAGCAACTTACGGGAAACAACTTACGCTATATCTGCCGTAGGGGGAGTAGTATAGCAACCAGCAGAACCCGAGCTTAATCGATCTCCTGGAGTGAGACGCCGGTGGCTGCGGCACCCCCAGCGGCAACGTCACCAGCGGCTGTCGGTGGAGGATCAGAGGGGAGGAGCAGTCAGGGAGCGGTGGCTAGCAGGGGAAGTCGCGCCCGCCCTGCAATGGAGCGGCGGAGGACCGCGAAGTGGCAAAAACGGCGGCGGCCGGAAGCCGCGCAAGGGCGCGGGCGCGGCGGCGGGGGTCGGGATAGGGACGGGCGCAGAGTAAGAGAGAGACGCGTTGGGGGCTGCACTCGGCTTGTTTTGTGGCTAGGCATTGTGAGCTGGCCGAGCCGAGCTCGAGCTCAGAGCGTCCCGAGCCCAAGGCTCGCTTTCCTTTCCGTTCTTGTTTTCTTTAAAAAGTTGAGTCACGCTCGGCTCGATTTTCAGGACCGGGGCCGAACAGAGCCACCAGCCCGTTCAGCTCGGCTCGATTCTAAAGCCAACTCCAACGGGATCACCCAAAATCGATTGTGCATAAATGTTCGGGTGGTACGAACACTCTTAGCATGTACTCTCTCCGTTCCAAATTACTTGTCTTAGATTTGTCTAGATACGAAGATATCTAGTGCATATACAGTCGAACTTGACAAATCGAAACCCCTCAAATATCCGCGGACGCGGTCGGGTGCATCCGCTGAGAGTAACTGGTCACGTCTCAAATTTCCTTCTCTGCATCCGAGTCTCTCACATTTCATCTCCTAAATCCATACAAAACCGCAAAAAAAAACTACGTACTACGACACGCTAGCTATTATTCGTCGTCGGAGATGTCCACGACGTAGGTGCCGGGCGCCGGGTGGACGCGCGCATAGGAGGGCTCCAGCTCCTCATCCTCCTCCTCATCCATGTATGCGAGCATCTGGTCGACTTTCGCAGCTTGCTCTGCGTCCATCTCCTGCCGACGACTACGCATGGCCTCCGCATCCAACTCCAAGCGGAGGGAATCGAGGATGGCCTACTGGTCCGCCTGCAGATACGCGTCCCCAGCGTCCCCCACGTCCTCCTCCGGCTCCTCCTCCTCCTACTTCTCCTCAATCTCATCCTCCTCCAAATCCTCCTCCGGATCCATCACATCTAGAAGTAGCCCCCGCGGCGACCTGGGCTTCGCGCCTTGCCCGGGCCTGCTCAAGGAGCTGCATCCAGCGCTCCGGCATTAGATATTGGTAGCTCCTTTACCCGACGGTGTGGGGGCATGGCTACTAGTGGCGGCGGACGACGAGTAGAAAATGGCGGCGATAGCAGACAGGAGGGGGAAATGTGGACGGGTAGGGTTTCGGTGCGGGCGGTCGGCTTATAGCCGGGCTAGGCACTACATGACCCACCGGAACGGCGCTACGCGGCACCATCGGTCCGACGGTAGAAACGAGCTTCGGACCGTCGGGTTTCGGAGTGTTTTCCTGTGTAACCCTGACGTCAGTCCAGCGTGTTGGACGCGCCCGGGCACCCCCATATCCGCGCCATATTTGGGCAGGATATCAAGGGTGCCAGCCAGCTCGAGCGTTTGAGGCCCGTTTAAGGTGCCCATCTGGGTCGCATTTTCGTGACCGGTCAATGAACGGGTTGGACAGCTCGGGCGTTTGATACGGGTTTGGGGTGTCCGGCTGTAGATGCTCTAACACAACTCATCTAAGATGTTCAAACTAGTTAGGACATTTGGGATCCCTCAAACGGCATCGAACTGATGGGAGATTTGGGGAGTCTGGACATCCACCACATCGAATCCATCCAAAATTGAGTCGGAGCACGCGTCATGCCACTCCTCCTGGCCGAAAACCTGCCCTTCCCGTTGCTTCCACCCCCCACACACGCCT